TATTGTTAATAAGGAAATCTGGTGAAAGATTCCTCATCAAAGTCTGTTTTAGCTAGTGATGGAAGGGTTTTTCTTAATTTGGTGGTCTTTAAATTACTATTATGTCTGCTAGTTTCTAGTGAACGTGTGTGCCCCTAAAACATCAAACTTAATAGAAATAAGGGACATCTGTTGGGCTCTGTTCTACTGAGAAGCAGGAGACTAGCTTCACACTGATTCTGACTGCTGAAGTCAGTTTCTTAAAATTCTTCAATTAAGAAGTAGTAATAAAGCCCCCTTATTTACAGACTTTGTGCGTTTTAATTCAGAGCCAAAAAATGTATACTTATTTAACTAGAGTTCTCTTAGGTGGATGAAGATGGTATGTTCATTATTGCTAGAAAATGACAAGTGATTAAGAGAATCTACAGTTGTTGAATCTCCACATCTTATTGCTGACTATTCTGAAATACTGCAAAGAGCATGTAGAACTAATGGTTATATAGTTATGTCCTTATCTATTCTTGAATACAAATGAAATAAAATTTTGAACTACTATTTTTATGTACAGCATCGGTTGATACATCTTAATGATGTATTTTAAGTAAGAATTTTGACTTTAGATTTGATGCAATTCATTTCTACTGTTTACTCATTGGTCACTTTCACTTGCTGGTACTCCTTTACTACAGGTATTGCAAAATGAAACAATATAAGCAAGTATTTAAATCTCAGCTTGTTCGTTTGTTTTTGTTTTTTAGGTTAAAACCAATAAGGAATGGATTTATTTCAGTGTTCCAAGGCTTTATAGCTTTATGTTCTTAGTTTTTCTTTAGAGTAGCTCTCAAATTCCAGTCTTTTATTGGCACTTCAATGGAAAGTTGGTCCTTCTAAATTGTAGTTGCAGGAAAAAATAAATTTATCTATTAAATGTACCTTATTTTCTTGCCAGTATTATACCTGGACAATGTAAATATAAACGTTGTTGTGATTCTGGAAAAACTCCATGGAGTAGCAGGAAAGCCACGCTTCCTAGGGAACTGGCATTTAGCTTAGGTAGTAATGTGTGGTAATATCCAGGGATGTGCTAGAGGCTTTCCAGATAAGTAAAAAGATACAATATTTACTCTGAAAACTTTGTAGCGATACAAAGGCTGAGGTAGAGGTACAATAAAAATCAAATTACTGTGAACAACACAGACTGTGGAATTGATTTTTTTTTTCTTGCCCGTCAGCATCAGAATGTTTCTGTATTGTATCTTTAAAATATTCTCATTTGTAGTTACGTTCAAATGGAGGATGGGCACAAAGCTGCTTAAACTGTTGCTGCATAAATCATTTAATTGTTTTATGGAGTTTCAAGTCATGTGTATCCCTAAAAATTCTGCAGATACCATGAGCAGTGCCTAGTCTTACAGACGTTTGGAGTTACACCAAGTCCAGACCCAAACAATGACCTCTGTAATTGGGAACCTCTAGTCGGTGAGTCTTGTCTGAGTACAGTTGTGCCAATTTTTAAATAGACTAACACCATAGTGACGTGTTTTAGGTAAATAACTGTCACTAGGCTTAAATATTTCAACTTCTGATGCATTATTATAAGTTAATGTCTGTTTATTTAAGGCCTAAATCTAGCACTGCATATTTGTATTGCAAAACTTAAGAAATCTTTCATATAGGTATTTTCAATTTGTTTCTCTATCTATATATAAAGAGGCACCACAGTGATGCTTTAAATGGCAATATTTATTGGTAATAAGTCGTTCTCAAAGTATAACACCTTTACCAACTGAAATGAGAACCAGAAAGTGAAACTGACCATTTTGTCTTTACCAGGCCTATGTGAAGCCTTTAAATGAAGAAAAGTTGATAACTTTTTTCGTAAATACTTAGATTGATAGTTATGTTGGTTAAATGCTGTATTAAAAAAAATAAAAAAGTCAGTAACTATTCAATCTCTCATTCATTTTACTTCCCAGACTGGACAAGAGAATAGGCTCATGTTTCTGCTGATAATCATTTGACTTTAACATTCCTCTTCGCTGTATGAAGTGATCAGTTATTAGTTTTTTGAAGACTCCTTGTGGCTTTGTTTTCTTTTTTTTTTTTTTTTTTTTTTAAACTTTGGCCTTTTTTTTTTACTT